CCCGGCGCGCGACGCCACGGAGCCGAAAGTGGGGGCCGTCCCGCGAGCCTAGACCGCGCCCGGAGGTGAGGGGCGCCGGGCCGGCGGCGGCCGGCGGGATGAGGGCCGCTGGTGGGAAGTTGCCTGTGGGTCCGCGAGTTCCTCTGCACCCTCCGCCGCGGAGTGAGACCGAAGGGGCTGTCTCCAGACCAAAGGGGCTCTCCGCCCTAGCCCGCGGAGCCTGGCCTGGGCGAGGGCGTCGAGGAGCCGCCCGGGCCGGCCGCGAGCCGCAGAAGTTTGAGCGAGTTGGCGGGCCGGGCCCGAGTGCGTCCGGCGGCAGCGGCGGTGGTGGCCGGGTGCGCGGCGCTTTGTTGTGCGCCTGCCTGCGGCTGGGCCGGCCGGTCCCGGGAGCAGTCGTGACAGCACGCCGATCTCTGCGCGCCCCCAGGCCGCGCCTCGGGAGACGGGTGAGGGGTGGGGGTGAGGGGTGGGGGCGAGGGCGAGGGCGGGGGCGGGCGCGCTCTGGTTTTCCTCGGCCAGCGCCTCGGGTTCGTAGGACCCGGTCCGAGTTTCGGGAGCACTTTCGGGCGGAGAAAGTGGTGGCAGTTGCATAACACGCCTTTCTTGGGCCGACTTTTCTGGGACTCGATTTCTCTGCTGCAAATCACTTTCGGTCAGCTAGCTACCCGGCCACGCTCTGCTGTGATTCATACTTTTGTCAGTCTCTTTTTGTCATGCCTGACTTTGAAAACTTCAGGAAGAGCATCTCCGTAGGGGATGAGGACCGGACAGCGGGGCTGGGCAAGAGTGCCTCGCTGGAGCAAACCTCCGTCTGTTGACTCAGTCGCCTGTGCGTATGGGGCTGGCAGAAGCCGACAGTCAATCAGGGAACACACCTTCCAGCACCTTGTGACCCAGGCTGGTGAGCGACAGCCTCCGAAAAACATGGCGAGGAGAAAGTAAGGCCGTGGACGGGTTTTGAGGCCCTTGGATGAGAAGTACTGTTTTTGCAGACATAACCACGGGCGTACACTGTATTTGTATATTTTGTTATATTTACCAAAAAATTAAAAAGGAAAAACTTTCACATTTCTCTAGGTTAAAAAAGTGTTCTTAATGTACTAATTGTCTAGGCTTTTTAAAATTATTTAGCCTTAATCATTAAGCCAGGGAGTATACATTTGGCAGGTAGAAATTCAAATTAATAGCAGGACAGCTCTCTTCACAAAGCATTTATTCAGCAATTAGGTACACTTTTTAGGAAAGTTTGAGTACATTTTACCAAGAAATTTGAATATACTGAAATCTAAATGGAAAGTCACGAAGTGTGTGTGATCTGAGTGCAGGTGTTGTGGTTAAAATTTTAACTTAGTAGATTAGGGGCCTTCCCTTAGTAATGGAGAAAGTAACTTGTGGCTGGCTTATTATTAGGAAGTTTGTACTAAATAGATCTTGCTCTTTGTTTTTAATCTCTGCTTAAATCTCAGCATGATGGATCACCATTCTTAAGAGATTAAGCTGCTTTGTATCTTTTAAATTTTTTCTTCGGCTACTGCTGTGGTGAGGTAGTACCAGACAAATCTTCCAAAATAAGAATGCAGAGACTGTTAAGAAAGTCTGTTTTAAATTAACAGTAATTAACAAAATACAGTGTTCAGTCTCTCATAAAATTTTGTCTAATTATCCAGGTCTGTAGAGCACTGTTTAATGACTTTGCCAGCATTCCTTTGAAATTAAACTGCTGAGCACTTAATAAATCTCAAAATGTCAAGCTATTTTGAAATGGTATTTGAGTGGAGGATATCATGCAAAATTATTAAGATGAATTATTAAGAGTCATAGAATTTTAAAACTGAAAGGGATTCTTCTAGCTTCTTCACCTAGGTTGAAATGGTTTTAAGTGTAAATTGAAGCTGTACATGTTTCTTTATTAGCAAATCACAGGGTTGGTGGGAGGGACTTTCCTTTGGTGGAAGGGGAATGCTTTTACAATAAGATGCCTTGTTATTTTAAATGTTAAGTTGTAAATAGTCAGCTTTGGGCTTCTGAATCTCATTGAGGGGAGGAGGAAGCTGATAAATTCACCATAAACATACAGGAAGTGGAATAGGATTTTAGAAAGCTTTTGGGAGTGGTTGTGGAGTGTTCTGTGTTGTATTGGAAAAACCAGACCAACTCAATTTAAATTTTATATTTTATTTATATTTTATATAATTTATATTTTTATATTTTATTTTACATTTTTATATTTTACTTCACAGTTATAATTGAAACTTCTGAATAATATATATCTTATTGACTTCTTTTTTTTAAATAGTGGGCTTGTAAAAATACAGAGGATAAGTTTACTTTGTTTTCAAAAAAGGAGCAAAATATCCTCATTCACAGAGTGAAAAGATTGCACTTGATAATAGCTTGAAAAATTTGATCTCCTTTCTCTTTTTAAAAAAATCTGTTGACAATTAATTGACTCCATAACAACTTACAACAACAATGTTGATTAGTAAATTGTCTGAATAGAGCTGGGCAGGCAAATTGTACAACTCCAGGGGGCACGGTTCCCGTTGTATGCTATGTAAATGGTGCTCTCTGTAATGGGGCTCTATTTACATAGAGTACCACGTGAACGGTGTCTTTTGTGAAGATTTCATTTAGTGTTAGATGTTTTTTCAGTATTTTTAAGGGTATTTGATTTATAGTGTCATTTTGAAAGTGTTACTGAAACAAGGTAATGTTGAAAATAAAGGTATTGGTTATGATGCTAAAGTTAAGATGGAAATTTGACATTGCTTAATGTTTGCCATTTACTATATGAAGACTTTGTGTTGGTTGGCATCTAGAACATGTCAACTTAGTTGTGATAAGTGGGTTTTTTTTTTTTTTTGAAGTTAATTAAAATGAAAAGACAATACTCTTTTTGTTCCTATGCCAATATTTGACATACACAGGAATTTTTCTGGAGGAAAAATGAAAAATCTCCAATTTTGTTGTCGTGATTTGTATTTATTAACGCCAGTTGTTAAGCTATTGAGGCATAATGCAGGTTTCATAGCCCCAGAATCAGTTAAGATGGTAAAGATCTTAAGAATGTAAGTTGGAATTTGATGGAGGGGGCCTCTGTTTGGAATATTGGGCCTCCAGGCAATTATATTGAGTAGGAATGCTAAGGACGAGTACATTCTATTACTAATTCACTCCATCCTACCTCACTAGCCTCACGTCTGTTTTTTCAGTAAGTGTACCCAGCAGCACCTGCCCCTCCGCAACATTGTTTGCTGCTCATCTTTCCCTTCTATGTGTAAGCCTTTTCACAGGAAGTTCCAGACTCCAAGAATAGCTTCACACTTCCTCCATCAGATCATAGCCTTTCAGCCTTTCCAATTTTGGTGAAGCTTTCCTTTCTTGAGGAGGCTTTCTCCACACAATCTGAACACCTTCCTGAAGCATTGCTCCTCCATAGGAGTAGATACTTGAACTGGGATCTTTGGACAGTGGCAGTATTACCTCTGTTTACAGCAGTGATTCTCAAATTGGCTGGGGATCATACTCCCAGGGATAGCTGAAACGTGGGAGGGGGCTGAGTGCAGAGGAGGCAGGGCTTTCTCAAAGTTTGAGAAACCCCAGTTGGAGTATGGAATTGAATATAAGGAGACTCATCCTGTTCAGTGGCTTGCTGTTTTGTTTTTTTTAACTAGAAGTGCCAGAAAGAACTAACAAATTTTTCAACAACCTGGTACAAACTTACATGGGTCTTTTTTGTTATGTCATTATTCATACTTGTGTACAAATATATCACATGAATAACGTACAAAGCTGTCTAATATAATGTGCTGTTTTGTTTTTTCTTTTGATTGTAAGCTTATTTAGAGGTAAGAGTCTGTCCTGCCTGGATTAAACCTCATAACAACCAGCACAGCATTAGGCACACATATGGTACTTCTAAACACACTGAATTCTTGTGATGATACCATTTATTGGTGAGTGGGACTTTTTTATAAAGTGAGTTTTCCTGGATTCCCAGAGGGCTGTAGTCACTGGTTTCCTCAGAGACCCTTATTATGACAGGGTAGCCCCCATTGTGTGATTTGCTGACTGAACACTCCTGGAGTGGTATATCAGTGTGGTGCTTTATGAGTATGACCTTCAGCATCTGGCTGAAGTCCTGGCCCGTCTGCTTGACTTGGTTTCAGCTTTGCTCATCGGTTGTAGTAGAGGTATGATTTCAGTAATAACTGGAATGTTAGTCCAAGAAATACTGAATTTAAAGATGCCTGTGTGTGTCCTTGTGCAGATCCTGTGAGACACCAGTTTGGTTGGTGACTTGATGTATGTTTAGCACCCAGTGGGTTTGTGAGGGCATTTGGAGAAATTAGAATAAAAATTCTTGAACATTTGATAGCATTTTCTAGGATTGGGTTGAGAATTGGAATTGGGTTTGGTAGGACCAAATTGAGATGCTTGAAGTCTTGCTCTCACATTAAGTTTTTACGTGAGTTACTTATACTAAGCATGTGTTAGTATTTGAAAACGAGATTTTTTGTTCTGAGTTGTGTTGCAGGTTTAAAATTCTAGTGTCTTGTAGTTTCATTTAAAGTATATTTAAATTGATGGGTGATGCCAAAATAATTTCAAAAATTAAGTTACTTCTCTTGATACTTCCATTATTTTAAGTTTACATCCGTAAGGATTTAGGATTATATTTATAAAATTATTGATGAAAGAAAACTTCGCATATAAAAACCTGTTGCCATTGAGTTGATTGCAACTCATAATGACCGTATAGGACGGAGTAAAACTGCCCCCATAGGGTTTTTAAGGCTTTAATCTTTACAGAAGCGGACTGTCACATCTTTCTCCTGTGGAGCAGCTAGTGGGTTCAAACCACCGACATTTGGGTTAGCAGCGAAGTGCTTAACTACTGCGCCACCCCTGCTCCCTTCTCATACGTTAGGTCGTACTAAAACAATATAGTAACGTGTCAAAGTAGCTTGTTTTTAGTTTTAACTTTAATTTGACTGATGAGTATTCCCATGATAAATTCTTTCAGAAGTTTATAATTTGGCCATGGAATCAACTTGTCTCCAAAATTTTAAATACAAGGTCTCAAGCTGAGAAAATCCATTACTTATTTGTAGGGGGTGGGGATGTGCGGCTGCACCACTCCCAGAGTTCAGGAGTTACTCTAACGTGGGGACTTTGCCCTCCTATCCGTCCCCAGTCCCTAAGTCCGATCTTTGCATTTGTGCAGCTGTGTTTGGAAAGGGAACCATTGTTCAAACACTGGTTAGCTAGATGTGAACAGTTATGTGACATTTTGTAATAATGTGTGCTTCATTAGGATACATTTAACTTAGGCCTGCATCTTAAACTTCAGAGAAGGAGCACTCCTGCTTATCCAGTGCCGTCTGTGTGCACAGCCTTGTGCTAACCACGCCTGTGGTGGGTTCCATCCCCAGTTTAGAAATGCGGAAACTCAAGAATGGTAAGTGACCTCATGTATGAATTCAGCAGGTACTTTTGGGTCTGTATGCCACTGTGCTAGGAGGTAGACAGGGGTGAGCCAAACACTACTCCTGCCTTCACGATGCTTTACCGTCCCAGTAATTCAAAGGAAACCACAAGTCATTATCCGTTGTGCTGAGTGCTGAGAAGGGCTGTGAGAATGAACTCTAGGGTCCCTTAGATTGGGTGGGAAAGAAGTCCCCCCCCCCTTTGTTTTTTATTGTGCTTTAGGTGAAAGTTTACAGAGCAAATCAGTTTTTCATTAAACAATTAATACACAAATCATTTTCTGACATTGATTGCCAACCCCGCGACGTGTCAACACTCTGCCCATCTCGACCTCGGGTTCTGCGTTTCCATTCTTCCAGTTTTCCTGTCTCTTCCTGCCTTCTTGTCTTTGCTTTTGGACAGGTGTGCCCGTTCAGTCTTATATACATGGTTGAACTACATGTGTTTGTTTGCTTTATAGGCTTGTCTAATCTTTGGCTGAAGGGTGAACCTCAGCAGTGACTTCAGTACTGAGTTAAAAGGATATCTGGGGACCCTACTCTTGGAGTTTCTCTAGTCTCTGTCAGACCAGTGAGTCTGGTGTTTTTTTATGAGTTTGAATTTTGTTCTACATTTTTCCCCAGCTCTGTCTGGGACCCTCTGTTGTGATCTCTAAGAAAGCCCTTTTTAAGGAAGGAATTTGTAAGCTGAGATTTCCAGGAGTAGGAGTCAGCCAGGCTGGGATGTAAGGGGTTAGCGTTCCTACCAGAGAGAACATCTTGCCAAGTTTTGGAGGTGTAAGGAAGAATTTGATGCATTTAAATTGCCGAGTAAGTGACAGAGCCAGGTTCCACCCCAGGTCTGACTGATCGGGCCATGGTCAGCTTCATGAGTCTCACGCACTGCTGAGACGACTGGAGCAAGCTGGAAGCCTGGCTTCAGGCAGCATTCAGTGAGTCTAGCGACTTCAGCAAGCTTTTCTTCTCTCAGCTTTTGTTTCTTTAAAAAAAAAAGATGCTTTAGTGTTTTAAGCATTGTTATCAAACACTGACTTAAAGTAGAGCCACTTGGAGTGACCTTTTAAAGCATGAGATCCCGTGTGTCTACATTCCCTTTGGTAATTTTCCACTAAGCCTGTCTGGATTTTACCCTGAGCTTATCTCCTGACTTGATTAAAACCTGCCCAATTTATTCCGAGTCCTTAATTTATTCATAATTATAGTAATAGTAATTAACCTGTATATCATGCATTGCAGATTGAGACTGTTTTCACACCCAGTATGAGATAGAACAAGGTTATGGAAAAGGAAATGGAAGCTCCTAGAGTTTAGTGGAGTCCCTGGGTCGTGCAAACTGGTTAAATGTGCTCCGCTGCTAACTCAAAAATTGGAGGTTCATGTCCACCCAGAGGCACTGGTGATCTCCTTCTGAAAAATCAGCCATTGAAAACCCGAGGGAGCACAGTCTTCTCTGACACACGTGGGGTCGTCATGAGTTGGAGTTTACTCCGTGACAACTAGTTTTTTAGCAGTTCAGTGGCATGTGCAGATCATAGAGCTAAGTGTCGAAGTTAGAAATGGAACGTAGGCTTTCATTTCTAGTTACTGAGATGTAATTGTATGTTTCTCTATCTTATAAATAAGCCTCCCCTGCTTTGTGTTTTCCTTCAGTCATATCCTCACCCCCCTAATGACTGCCCTCCCTCCACCTACCACTGGGACCATCCTTCTGATGGTCCCCAGTGTCTAGAGGGTCCACGTTTCCTGGCTCAGAGAATGGCAACACTATGAACCCAGCTTTCCAAACCAGAAACTTGGGCATTGTCTTTCAGACCAGTCCTTTTTCTTATAAACACCAAACCCTATGGATTCTACCTCTTAGATTCTGTCCTTCAGCTGTTAACCTGTTTCATATCACCATCATTTCTTGTGAGCATTATGGCACCAGCCTTCTAGTTGGACTTCTGGTCTTGTGGTTCTGTATCCCCAGCTCTCCTCCCACACCATAGCCAGCAGAATCTCTCTTAAACAAATCGGATCACATCACTCAACTGCCTGAAGCCCTTTAGCACTCCACGTTTCCCTGAAAATAAAAGGCCAGGTTACTGAACGACTGGCTTGAAATCTGAATTGAGTAATACCGAATTACTGATGAGTTCTTTGCACTTGGGTCCTGTTTCACTGTGCGCTCTCCTCCCTGGGCCCTGCTGTGCACATGGGTCTTCCCTGTCCTCCCTTACCTCCAGGACTTGCCTGTGCTGCTCAGGCTGCCTGGACTCTGCCTCTCCTCCTGGTTTCTCTGAAGCCCCCATCTCATCATGCTGTTTGGTGACTTGCCTATGTCCCATGCAGATTGTACAGTTTGTCTTATCTACTGTTGTATTTAGCATCCAGTGTTAGTTAGTGTGCAGTGAATATTGTGAGCGGATGACTGCAGAACCCACCGTCGGTCCCCGTCGCTGTCAGGGCACATCCTAGATCCTTGTCATGGATATGCAAGCCTCTCATGATCTGGCTTCTTCCTCCATTTTCAGCTGCACAGCCACTTAGTACTCGCTGGTGACTGGACAGATCATTAACTTCTGTGCTTCATTGCTTCAACTGTAAAATGGAGCTCATGACCCTGTCTACCCGAGAGAGTTGTCATGAGGATTAAAGGGGATGATGTAACAGGTTTAGAATGGGCTGGTGTAGAGCACGTGCTCATTAAATAGTAACTGATCCACAGCCTTGTCCCCACCAAATTCTTCACTAACTGCTCCCAAGCCAGCTACACTCACCAATGGAACAGTCTCAGTTGTGCTGTCCTCTCTTCCACCTCAGTGCCTGTGCCTGGCTGTTTCCTCTGCCTGAAATTCGCTACCCCTCAAACCCTCTTTTTTCCGATGGATATCTCTTAGTTGTCCCTCAAGATCTTTACCTAATTGCCCTTGCCTCCTGCCCTACCTAAGCTGAATTTGGGTTTTTTGGGAGATATAGTCCTCAGATTCCTTGGGTATATATTTATTGTCACACATATATATTGTATTTAAATGATTGATTTTTTTTTTTTTTTTTTTTTTACCTCCTCATCCTCTTTGAACTCAGAGGCTAGTTGTTCTTTTCTGCATCCCCAGGCCCTGGGAAACAAGCACCCTGTATGAGCATTCAGGCTGTGCACTGCTCAAGGACCCCGTATCTCAGAGGGCATACCTCATCTCACCTCATGTGTATACTAACTTAACGAGACCATGGACAGCTGACTTTGGGAACCTGGCCATCTTAGAAGACCCGAGCAGAGTGGAGTGCTGCCGCCCAGCACAGCCACACGGGCATATGTGGTCATGCACATGTGGTCGTGCACATGTTCCAGAGAGCACATGCAGTCACACACCTCGTTTGTGACCTGGCGCTCAGGCCATTCCTTTCTGTCCTTTGTCTCAGAGGTCCAGTCCCCACCCTCCACTTGAATCCAGATATTCCTGCCCTCCTTTCCTGAGAGGTGTGTGTGTGTGGGTTGTGGATTGTGTGTTATGGTGTCAGGGTATGTGTATGAGTGGGCCAGGGCTGCTGCCCACAGGACTCTGAAAGCTCCCCCGGATAAGAGGTATGCATTGTGCATGGTAGCATATTGTTCACAGTTCTGGCAGTGGGGCCACTTAGACATTAAAGTCTTAATGGCAGCAGCACCGTTTGTTATAGTCCCAAACTAGAAACAACCCAAATCCCGTCAATGGCAGAATGGATAAATAAGTTATGGTATATTCCTACCATGGAATACTATACAGAAAAAAAAAGGACAGACCACATGGATGAGTAACCAAACATGACATTGAACAAAATAAGCTAGACACAAAGAGTACAGACTCTGTAATTCGATGTATATAAGGTTCAAAAACTAGTCAAACTAATCCTTGGTGTTAGAAGTCATAACACCAGTCTGTCTGTGGGTGGCTGGGAGGACTGGAGACTGTGTAGTTGTAGTAATGGTGTGTACCTTGATCTGGATGTGGTTTACAGAGGGTGCTCTATTTGTGCTACGAGTTGGAATCGACTAAACGGCAGCAGGTTTTGGCTCTTTTTGTGAATATTTATTAATTGTATGATTTATGTATTTTAGAAAATGAATGTTAAATAAAAAAGATTACACCCCTCCCCAGAGAGAGCTCTACTGATCCTCCCAGCTTTCAGCAGCTTCCTCCTTTTAGAACAAATTACAGAGACAGCTTTGAGGCCTCAGAATCAACCAGCCCCTCCTTCAGCTGTTCCTGACGTCCTTTCCCTGTGATGGTGTGACAGGCAGAGAGGGCATCCCCATGGTCTGGCTCTAACATGGACCTTTCTTAGCTTCTCAACCCGGACCATTTCTTGGGGTCCTTAATCCTTTTTAGGTGAGTAAAAAGCAGCTTGCTCCTTATCTTTAGTTGGCTCTTATTACTTGATGGTGAAATGAGACTGGGGGCAGGGCAGGGGCGGGGGGGCTTGAGCCACCCACTCTCTTTACCTAACTGCCAAATTTCACAGGTGAGCAGACAGGTTTTGTCAATGTCTCGTATGCTTATGACTCTCCCATATGTAGCTTTCAACCCAGACCTCTGGCCATGGTATGACTCATTCCTGAAGCCCCCCCTACCCCACCCTGAGGTGGCTGCTCCTCACCCAGGCTCTATCTTTTCTACCTGGAGTGCTACAGTTGTTCCTTCCAACCCGTCTTCCAGTTGGCTACCAGACTTCACTTTCTACAAGGTAGTTCTGGCCATGTCACTCTTTAGCTTAAACGTGTTCAGTGACTCCTCATCTTCTGCATTGAGTCCAGACTCTTAACATGGCCTCAGACGCCCTTCAGGACTGAGCCCCTATCTACCTCCACATCCTCACCCCTCCACGACTCTCCAGGAAAAGCCTCAGCCACGCAGATCTAAACGTGGTGGGTAGACACTGCAGGCTTTCACATACCTCTCTTCCTTTGCCTATACTGTTCACTCTGACTGGAATGCCATTCCTCCCAACACTCAGAAAAAAATCAAAACAAAACCCTGGCTGTCTAGTCGATTCCGACTCCTAGGGACTCCGTAGGACAGAGTACAACTACCGCATAGGGTTTCTAAGGCTGTAATCTTTATGGAAGCAGACTGCCACATCTTTTTCCCACGGAGCAACTGGTGGGTTTGAACTGCTGACCTTTCTGTTAGCAGCCTAGCACTTAACCACTGTGCCATCAGGGCTTCTCCCAGCACTAAGATTTAGTAGTTATTTCTACTCTGAAGCATCGCTAGACTTCCTGATTTTTGTTTTTTTCCCTTGGGCATCTTTTTTCTTTGAAACTGTTTATTTGCCTATCTAACCCTCACCTCCCACCTAAAGGCAGGTTTTGTTGTACTACCTCCTAGCAATGCCTGTACCTTAGTAGGCATTTCATAGATGTTTGCAAGGTAGATAGGTGGGTGGGCAGGTGGATGGATGAGTGGAGGATGGTGGTTGAGTGGATGGGTGGGTAGATGTTGGTAAATGGAGAGATGGATACATTTTGACCCTGAAAAAAACCCTTCTCACATATCTGCATTAATTATTTGTTGTAAAAGTAGATGATTTATAGTTCTCTATTTTACAGTTTTCAAAGAAAGGGAAGAAAACCAAAGATTGGAAACCAAGTGATGTGTGTGAATTCCCCTTGGAAAAGAGATAACATCTCTGCCTGCTCTAGACACACCAAGTCACTTCTAAGATTCTCCACACGTGCTTGGCAGCCCCTTGAGAGTCTCTCCATTTTTGACGGAATGTGAACTTATGGTTTTAGACAGTTAGGTATTTCAAAACAGATGCTTAGACCACTAAGTCACTGAAAATGACTGTGGTTGCAATATGCTCATTTTATACCAATTAAGTAGAGCCCCTAGACTCTGGCACCCTGCCAGCACAGGCCACAGCGGGTCTCAGCTGTCCCTGAACGTGCAGTCATCTCATCAACTTTAGCGTATCAGCAATTGCATGTTAAAATACTAATTTCTTGTTGAAAAATTTACTTAATCTGATTTGTACCTACTTAACAGAATTTTCTCTTAGTTACATTGAGAAAGGGAGCAATTTAAATGATTTAAGACACTCTCCTCACTTCCTTAAGAAAGGAATAGTAATTTTAATGTCATTTCTTAGTGTTTATTATTTCTGTTTTTATATATATATATATATATATAATTTATCTTTATGGCTTAATTTATGTAAAACTTCTATAACAGGGCCTGGCACATAGTAAGTAAAAAAAAAAAAAAACCGGTTGCTGTTGAGTCAATTCCGACTCATAGCGACCCTATAGGACAGAGTAGAACTGCCCCATAGGGTTTCCAAGGAGTGCCTGGTAGATTTGACCTGCCTACCTTTTGGTTAGCAGCCATAGCACTTAACCACTCGCCACCAGGGTTTCCAGCATGTAGTAAGCACTCAGTAAATATTAGCCGTGTTTTTCCACATGAGAAATGTCTGTGAAACTGAGTTCCATTTTACACTTATAAAATTCCTTACTTAAGCTAAAATGCCAGGTCCCTCCTCCCCTTCCCTTCTAAAGGATGCTTGTTTTGGATCGGTTTTTCTTTGTTTATTAAAACTCAAAGTTATCTTTCAGAGTCTGCTCATTGCTTTCTGTGGGGTAAAAGGGAGTGGACCAGGAGAGGGACAGGAAAGAGAGGGAAAGGAGCAGCTAGTGCTCAAGGGAGACTTCAGAGTTTTGCCTTTACCAGCAGCGGATATCAACGCTTGCTGTTGTTAGCTGCCATTGAGTCAGCTCCCAATTCATGGCGACCCCACGCACAACAGAAGGAAACGCTGCCCAGTCCTGTGTCATCCCCATGATGAATTGGGGGTCAGACTGTTGTGATCCATAGGGTTTTTATTGTCTCATTTTTCTGAAGTAAATCACCAGGCCTTTCTTACTAGTCCATCTTAGTCTAGCAGCTCCGTTGACAGCCAGGTGGTGGCTGTGCATGAGGTGCATTGACTGGGAATTGAACCCAGTTTCCTGCATGCAAGGCGAGAATTCTACCACTGGTTCCAGCAGTGTCTCCATTATCAAAGCTTAGATTATAACAATTATATAAATAATGGTAATAATAATAGTAGCAATTACAGTTCAGTGAGGATTTAACTGTGTCCCAAGTACTGCTGAACCAGTTATATACAGTATCTTACTCAGTACTCAGCACTACCCTGTAACCAAACGCTGTCTCCTTTTTACTGATGAGAATGCTGGAATGAGGGAGGCTCAGTACTTGTCCAAGATCACACAGCTGATAAGTGACTGGAACTGGACACTGCCTCCAGTAAAGCCGGCTGCTAACACCAGTTTCAGGAGTTGGCTTGATTTTGTTTTCTGAATGAAAGAACCACAGAGTATTTACTGAATTAGGGAATGGGGTAGGTGTAATTCACTATTGCAAAATACCTTTGTGATGTCTAGTTCAATGTAATGAGGTGATTTCTATATTAGTATAGGTGGTCTATACTAATAGGACTTTTATTGATTGAGTCTTTTGCTGTTAGTGTGATCACAGTGGACTCTGAGAAAGAAATCACCCACATGCTTTTACTAGTTCCTTTCCACACAGGTCGAAATGCTGATAAAAAGTGCTATCTTATAAGAAAATCAAGGAAATAGTTTCAGAGCCTCATAATTCATTGTGTTAGAACTGCTTTTAACTGCAATATAAGACGTCTTTAATATGACATGTTTTGTGGTGTCTTTCAGGATGATTGGGAAGGTTTTATAGAGAGAAATTTCCAAAGATATGGAAGGACCACAGCTTCAGGTGGGTGGGAGGTTAGCAAAGCAGTAGGGATAAGGGACAACAGTGTGGGCTGGGAAATGAGATTGATGAATAGGAACAAGGCAGAAATGCAAGACCCTATCTAGATAATTTAACTCTAAATACTCAAGCTTTGAATTTCAAAATATAATTATTTTCTAATGAAACATTTTAAACAAACTCATTTGCTAATAGTACTGTCCTTGCCTTGAGTTGACTGTTCATAAGCTGATACCAGCTTGTGCAGATTTACTTTATTGCTGATTACGTCTTACAAGAAACATCTTGGGACATCCCTTGTCATGTGCTCTGACCAGAGTTGAACAGTATTTTTGTCATTTCTGAGAGATGATGTGTTCATTCTTAATCTTGCCAAGTAGAATATTTCCAGGATCACTGTTCATTGCTGAGAAGTATTAACATTATGTGGAAACCACAAATGAACATTTTTCTCCCATTTATTTTCTTTTTCAGATAGTGATGATCTTCACAATGAAGACTCTGGAAAATTTTTGGTTCTCTATAGGAACAATGAAAATTGAAGGAAAAAAAATTTTCAAAAAGAAGTTGCTTTGAAAGTATGTTTACAACTGACTGATATTGACAGTTTTTTTTTTTAATAATAATAAAACACTTTAAGAAGATTGTATTTATGGTAAAAGGAAACTGGACTAACAATGAGGCCAAAGACTTTTCCTGCCACAACTTATTCTGGAAATAGCAGGCAGCGACTGCAGGAGATTCGTGAAGGGTTAAAGCAACCGTCCAAGTCTTCGGCTCAGGGGTTACCTGTGGGACCAAACAATGACCCTTCCCTGGACACCAAGGTTCTGGGGAGCAAGGACGCTGCCAGGCAGCAGCAGCAGATGAGAGCCACCCCAAAGTTTGGACCTTATCAGAAAGCTTTGCGGGAAATCAGATATTCCTTGTTGCCTTTTGCTAATGAGTTGGGCCCTCCCACTGCTGCAGAAGTAAACCGACAAATGCTGCAGGAACTAGTGAATGCAGGATGTGACCAGGTGGGTGTGAACCTCCCTTGAGGCTCCCTGGGGTGGTAGTCCCAGTGAGGAGCATGTTTGGAGTAGAGTTGAGACCAAGGATTCTTGGGCTCCTTGAAGGCTTTGATTTGGTTACTACTCGTAGAAGTGTTTGTTTCTAGGTTAAAAACCTAAGACCCTTTGAACGTATTGTTGAACAACTGTTTACCTTCTCTCTGAAAGGGTCTGCTTACTACTTTCCTTTCCCTGCAAGATTCAGAAGTTCCTGAACTCTCCTGAAATTGTGCTGCATGTATTTTCTCTTCTGTTTTTGTGAAGATGAGAAGGGCTTTGACGCTTAGCTTTCTTTAGGGTTTCTTTGGGGGTTATTCTGAACTGTCATGGGAAAGAGACTTGCTCCCATCATCTTTTTTTTTTTGGTTGGTTGATTAACATGGATTAACTATACTCTGACTCTTTTTATATTTTTTATTATTATTATTTTTTTATTGTACTTCAGGTGAAGGTTTACAGAACAAATAGTTTCTCATTAAACGGTAGTACACATATTGTTCTATGACACTGTTAACAACCCCATGACATGTCAACCTTCTCCCTTCTCGACCTTTTTTTTTTTTTTT